TGCGAGCGGCTCGATGTGGTATTGATGTGTGTGTCAAAGCCTCCGGGCCCTCGATTGCTGCTAGTGATTCTATTAGGCGAATGAGCGGGCACTTTCCGTCTGCTCGGTTTGCAGCTCTCCTCTCGATGCATATTCAATCAGGAGAACAAGAAGAACTCCACTCCCTGACCGGCGACGAGAGAGGAGACACCGCTCACTCATTCCCCGACGAGGAGAGCTACACAAACATTATGACAGCCGCAAGCGTAACCCCAACCCTTGGGGTGTTGGTCCGTCCTTGGATTTGTTGGTCCATTTGTTTGCTCTCGGATCTGTGTGTTCGGCCCTCCAGCTGTAGATCGGCCCCATTGACCGTGAGAGCTTCCGGGCGGCCGGGAGACTTTTCTTCCAGCCTGCGACCTCTGATGCCTCCGGATGAAGAGGCTGCGACATCAAGGGACTCCGAAATTCAGACGCAATGAGAAAACGACGTCGCATTTGAGAGCAACGTCTCCGAGCGGAAGCGTTTTGCGTTGATTTCCTCGATATCGAATCCGTGCCTCGCTGATTCAGTTAATTCAATCGGCTGATGAATGAGCCCCGGAGAGACGGAATTCCCCTCAAACGAGGATCGCGCTCACGAGCTCAGCGAATGCGAAAACTAAGTTCGTGCGCGAGAGAGGGAGAGGAGGAGCGATCCGGCGGCGAGAAGGAGATATTAAATTTCAATCGAGTGTCAACACGAACGCAGTGCGATACGACGCGACGAAGCCATAAAATAACGATACGAGAGCGACTGTGCTCCAAATTCAAGTACTCTGTGTCGTACGAGTGGTGGGGAACGCCGAACGATGCTTCTCACTAGGAATGTAATTGTTCGCGTTCCGGCGATGAGCGAAGAGATGATCCATGTCAAGAAGCCTCCGTCGCGCGACGTTGTAACTCCTGCCGGAGGAGGCGGCGGTCACGGTCAGAGATCGGGGCATTGGACTCTTCTGGCGGCTAAACGCCGGCGAGACTCTACTACAGCTCTGCGGTAGTGATTTGTTATTGGCTAACCGCTAACATTTCATATTTGGCACTGCTGCAGTCGTTGTTGCGGCGGGTTTTGCTCCCGTTTGCCGATGACAAATGCCCGTTCGGCTCCCGGTCGCTGTCACTCGCTGCCAGAGCTTGTTTTCGAAGGGTAAATGAGAAAGTTGGCGTCATTGGGAGTTGGCGCAAAGTGAATGGGAACCGACGGCAGGCTTGTCGGACGACCGTGCTGTGGTTGTGTCCCCACGGCCGTCGTGCACTATGCGGATGGTCTATGGGCTCGTCTGTCTGGTGGTCTTTCCCCGCTCACTCGAGCAGGACGCGCTGGTTTGAGTCGCGGTAAGTGGTTCGATGTTGCAGCAACTTTATTAATAAGCTACAACTTGAAGTGAACAAACCAATGAACGAAAAAAGCAAGGGGAAGCGGAAACAAGCTAGAGGGCAGCCGTCGAGGGAAGCTGCCGTCAGCGCACCATATGGCGCGGCTCGGTATGAAAAAGAACGAGGAAAACTAATGCCCCGTCGCCTGCTCGACTTAGTGAATGACTGGCAACTGGAGGAGCCGATGGAAAAGAGACCATGGAGACAGACGGTGAGCACAAAGATAGCTCAAGCCGAACCAAACAACTACAGTCCGACAGCTTATGAGCCGCATCATTCCGGCGGTTGTTATCATTTTTCTTCTCCGCTTCGCCCTTGTTGCTGCATTGTTGTCCACGACGCCGAATCTCTGATTGTTGTTCTTGTTCAAGTTCTTACCAACTTGACAATAACTACAAACCAATACGGAGCAATCGGATCGGTCACCCCACAGGCTGACTCGGAGAGAAGGACTCGAGGACAGAGCCGGGAATGAGCGCGCTGACGCGACGGTCGGACGAAGAAGTCATACCACCGTTACGGTTCCGTGGTGCTGCAGCAGGAGCAGCGAACTTGGTCCACAAAAGGAGTGGCTACAATGAGTCGGCATTATCTGCTCGCTGTCCTGGAGAACATTTGGCTCTACAACTTGAGAGACCGGGTGATGGAGCTAGCCTTCAGCTTGATGAGCATGATCACAAATGCCTCCATCAAGACCTCTACCGATACACTCGAGTGAACTGGAAGTTCGTTACGTACTCGAGTCTTCTCCCTACTTCGCTCTCAGTCAGTCGTTTCCGAATCGGCCGGGAGCGAGCGATTTTTCCAGAGAGTCACCGATTTTTTAGCTCAATCGTTAACGTTGTTGAGGTCACGAATTCGACAAACGAAGTGAACTCCACGCGTTGTTCATTTCGCTTCTTGGGTTTCGTCGTCTTCTTTCGTTCATTCCCTCCGAACCGAGAGAAGATCATTGTAATCTGTAATTGTATTTGGTCGCTGGTGGTGGTGGCACCGCCGCTGCCGCCGCCGCCGCGATGTCCCCATGGGGTGGGTTTTTTGCTCTCGCACCGGTAATCCTCAGATAGACAGACCGAGCGGCGGTGAGTGAGTGAGTGTGTGACTGACTGACTGAGCAGGAAGAGACCGATAGCCAACATAGACGACGAATCAGGGAACGATGAGACGGAGAGAAATCCGTAGTCTCGTGGCTCTCGAAAGGCCAAATGGAAGTTTTAAACTATTGCCAGCTCCGATAACAATACCCAGACGCACTGATTCCTACCCCCCCCCCTTTCCGACGCGACTGCTCACCGCTCCAGCATGTCCTCCTCTCCGGTCTTCCCCTCCTCTGTTGGAGCTTACCACTTTGGCTTACCCCTCGATTCGCCAATTGCCGCTACCTCCTCCCCATCCTCCTCCAAACAACGCTTTGCATGCAATTTGCGCTCGACGGCTTGCTTTTTAGACCGAGTTAAGGGTGAGTGAGGGAGTTTGGAAGGAGTGACTTGCAGACCGACCGAGTGTTTCCTCTTATTGTGTAGCATGCTCATCACCATTATCGCAATCTGCGGAGTATATACAAGAGATAAACACACCACCGTCACCGTGACATACATATGCAAAACAGGGGTGGCAGCGGCTCCGTAGGATTGAGCTCATCAGTGGGCGAAGCTGCCAAAAGCCAGGACCAAGCCTTCGAGTTCAGGGCAATACCATTGTCCAAATCCGAGGGGCTGTATTCCCTGAACTCACAAGGTTTCTTGAGGAATCGCCGAAATTGTTGACCGAACGAAGTTCAGAAGACAGAAAGTTTACCGGGAGAACTTACCGGAGACGAGACGGGATCATCGGGAGCCCGGAGTTTCGGAGCTCTTGATTATGGTCGACCTATAAAAATCGACAGCCTCACTCAGACGGTGGCTATAAACTCCCATCCACAGCATTTGTACGGATGCTTTTCCCCCGGAGCGAGACCACCGAGGATGATTGTATGCTCGACTCGCTATAAGCGATTATTCTCCATCGACATCTTCGTGGCATTAAAAGGAACCATTTGATTTGGTTCCGCTGAACGATAATGATAGTTTTGCCCTCCTCGGGATTGTTGTTCGACTTCTGCCCCCGCCCCGCCATAGAGGAAGAGATGCCCATCGAGCATTATGAACCTTATTTATATGGCCCTCATCTCGAGATTTCTGATAAACTCCGCGTCGATAGATTGGTAGATCCATGTCGATATTCCCGAGTTGAAAGCCATGAACTCCAACACTTATTGATCTGACAGCTGAGCTTGTTTTCTGGGAGGGAACATCAGCGGGCGGATCCGACCCGCAACCAGTCGAGGGTCGAACTCTGATTTCTCTTCAAAAGCCAGATGACAAATCGACTATTTCCCTTCTTCAACTCCGCAATCCACCGCTTCGACTATCCTCGTCTGTCCTCAATATAAATGATTGTTCGAACTCACCGTAGTCGTCAAATTGATGCCTTGAAGTTGCAGAACCATCCCTCTCGCATCCTCTCGAATCTGTTTGTTCCCGATGTTGCTCCCTGCTTCCCGTCTTCCTCCACTTTCACAGGGAGGCTACGGATCTGAAAGAAATTCAATTGGGAGATTTGAAACCATCCGGGAGCCTTTTTTCTTCCGGAGATGCGGGTCCCTTTCCTGTACGGAAATAATTGGGATGGAAAATTCTATCAGGAATTCGAGTAGTGAGCGTCTCGGCCATATAGTCGGAGAATTTCCCCTTCCATCCGTGTGTTTGCCCGCTAGCTGCCGAATATTGACTATCAGATTGTCGTTTGTTAGGAATGAGTGCTGCGCGTATGTTGCCATTTCAAATATGCTCGGACTTTGGCAGGAGCGAGGATAGGGGAAGCGGAACACTTTCTCGAGCAGCTCCCGATCGTCTTTTACTCTCCATAATACACGGTCCGTACGTCCGTCAATCCCTTCACCCAGTTGAGTTGAGTTCGAATCCGAGCGAGCGGTACCAAGTCAGTCAAGAGGAGTAAGATGAAAGGAGAGAAGCGGCAGCAGTAGCAGCAGCATATTGAATCGGAAGCCATTTGTCACACACAAAAGAGGCACCGAAGGCCTTCCCCCTCCTTACACCCTTTGCCCCCTCCTCGAGCGGGTAAGCTAGCTAGCGGGCGAGCGCGTCGGCCGGCCAGCCGCCGCGCCGTTCGTTCCCTCAAGAGCGTTGCGCGCTTTCTTACCAGCCTGTGTCGGAACGTGTGTCAAGACAGTCGGGAAACCATCGACGGGGAAGTGGAGGAGACGGGGCAGGAACCGACTGGCCAGATGTTGAGATTTATTTCTTCTCTTTCTGATTCTGTTGGAAACGGCATTTCACCGCTATGAATCAATGCGAGCGGAGAGAACAAGCAAGACAGCTTCGGCGCGGGAGCGTGCCCTGCCACAGGGGCGAAGATGAGAAAGGAGTTTGTGTACGATCTCGGATTAATTGCCCTCTCTCAAATTCGATAGCAGCTGGACATCTTCCCGAACTTGAGAGCTCTGGAAGTAGCGCTCAGGAAGAAAATCACGCTCGCCTCGGTGTCCGCCAGAGGCGAGCACTCGCACCTCTGCATTGCTAATTATATTCCTATTTGCCTTGCAGGTACGTACTTAAGCGATGTCCACCTAGGTTTCAATTCGCTCCCGTTGGGTAAGCATTCCAAGTCTTCTGCATTTTACTCAGCGGGGGCCCGGGCGGTGCGTGGGACGATCAATCCTCCCCAGGGCCAGAAGGGCCCCCTCATTGGCCAAAGCTCCCCAAAGCTAGCTTCGTTGTCCCCCTGTTGTAACTCGTCATCATCGTCGACTGCACTCTCGCTCTCTTCCCCGGTGTCGGCTGTGCTAGTAGCAGCGAATTTAGCATCGGCAGCAACAACAATAACAGCAGCAACCGTAACGACAACAGCTCCAACTGCATCGCCAACACCCGCACGCCCCATCGACGGTGTGCGGCTACACTCACCATGCTCTGCCGCCTCTTGTTGTCTCTCTTCCGCCTCCTGTTGTTGTTATTGTTGTTGTTCTACATGGACTACATCAAGAACCGCAGCAACATGCCACGGTTCGGCTGTACACTCCTCGAATGCTCTGACTTCTGCAGTGGCCGCGGCTTCTGTTTCCGCAGTTGCACCAGCCCGCTCATTCAATTCGTTCGGGCCTCCGTTCGAGTCGTACGCTGCTACTGCAGCAGCAGCAGCTGTAGCCCTATGCTGTTACCATCCGACACGTCTGAGCCATCGCAGGGAGGCAGACCCCACGCGGGTCCCCTGCTTCTTCGAGCATCAACTCACGGCACTTACTGACCGGGCTGGATCGGACTGGCTGACAGCACGACCTTTTTCCACGCTCACTTTCACTTCTTCAACGGCACTGATCACTGGCATGGAGTGCCACAACAACGACCCGACAGCTGATGCGACCGCGAGCAATTCGTAAGAGCTGAATATCACTCTTGAAATCACGTACCTTTCCTTCGGAAGCTTCCTGGCGTCACAGTGGCCAGGAAGCTGATATGAATATGCACTCTATTCACTGATGATCTCTCGGGCCCTCACCCGATCCTGCAAATCTCTTCAATTTCTCTGAACGAACGCAACTTTCTGACAACACGAAATTCTGCGCTGGCTGCTCGAATGGCATCGATGAGACGAGTTCCATTTCTCGTGAGGTTAACGATAATAATAGGTTATCGTCAGGGGGAACGATTTCACACTCCTTAGTCTCTTTTATCGATATCCTCCGCTCCCGAATGATGGAGAATTCCTAGAGAGCCCGGACCAGTTCTTAGATCCGGTGACAGGGTATCGTCGCCAAACACCTAGTCAAGGGTCGATCGGGATTCACGATCGGTATATACGGACTAGTCTCTGATGCATGCCTTACAGGGAGACCTCTGCGACCCTCCGTAATAGCCATTGTCTTTTAACGATCCGAAAAAAATCGTTCATGATAGTATCAGTAGTAGTGAGGGACTTCTGATTTGTCTCGACGCGACCTACGACGGCGGAACGAATAGATTCTTTGACTCGCGTATACCATCGTACGATCTTCCTCGAGAAAACCTTGGAGCACATCGAATTCCGAAGCCGTCGCTATTGGTCGGCCTACCTCTCAATAGGTACCCTTGCCCCTCGCGGAGCCATTGCTCACTCATTAGAGGAAACCAACCCCACGCCTATCAGGGCCTTGTCTATCCCTATTCTGGGTCCAGACGAGCCTTTTTTCCCTAGTTCCTAGCGTCCAGACCTCTCTATCGGCGTCGGACTTTTGCTCCGCCATGCAGACTGCAATGCAAAAACTCCCGAGCGGCTTGCTGCAGCTCGGCCACTCCGGGGATGATTAGAACAAAACGCTTTAGATCGTCTCAATATTTTTAGAGATTCTCGCGCACCAGTGGTCCTCCCCGTTCGGCGGGCTCGCAGCTCGACTCGGCCGTAAAGAGATAAAAGACGATTGATTCCAGCGGACTCTCGCTCTGAAACTGAGGAACACGAGATTGTGATTGAATGAAGAAAAAGTGAATGAACGGATGAATATATGTCTTACAACGCTTATCTTCTCCTCTCGTATCGCGCATATTATCACTGGGCGAGGGACAAGAGACAAAGAAAGAAGGGTTAGGCCATTAGGAGGGTAGAACGGGCCGCCACAATGACCGAGGAGGAGCAATGGAGGGTACAAGTGATGATGATGATGCTGCTGCTGACGAAGTAGAAGGGAGGGGTCGGTGGAGATGGATTTTTTAATGTTAACACTTCATTTGCGACGCACACAACTCGCTGTCTTCTCCCCATCCATACATGGACAGGACCGATCCTGGCCCCGACTACAAGATCACAAACGACGACCGAAGGACCGACCCTGGCAGAATACATTTGAACCCTACGACATGGGACACGAGGCAGATACGGGAGCTGGTGCTCTTTTATCTCACTATAAGCTCAATTCAATCGGGTGGCGAGCATTGAAATCTTTTTCGAAAAGGAGCGTTTGGTGTTCCCCAAACTCGCCCAGATGTCCATGCTGACTGTTTCGAAACCGCACCAGAATTCCGATCGATATTTCCTTAGAATTTCGCGCGGAATCATCGCAGTCGTCAGCATCGGCGATGGAGCTTCCTACTCGGAGAGGCGAGCTGGCGAGCGCCGTGGACCTCGATGACGGCCCGAGGATCCTCATTATCAGTGTCGAACAGAGGCGGTTGAATCTATTTTGTCGTGATTCTCGTCGCTGTCCCTCAATTCCACTGAAACGAGGTGACAACTTTTTGACGCGCGCGGCCGACCCCGATAAAAAGCGCTGCCAGAGAGCAGGAAGCCAAAATTAGAATTTCGGCGTTCGTTCCTCTTTCGAAAATGACAGACGACTGCTACCAGTGGGCGCCGCTCCACAAACCGCTTTATCGCCGTCACAAAATCTGCGGAAGGGCGAGATTAAGCTTCGTTCTCGGCCTGAACTTCGTGTGGCTACGATGACTACGACGCGACGCCGCCTTCGAGTTTGACGACCTACTCCGTAACAATGCATAGTAACCCGGAGCGGAACGACCCACGGAAAGAAAGAAGATTCGACGAGAACCCTTACCGCCCCCGCAATCATTGGCGGTGTTCTCGTTAGCGAGGCCTCGCCTCCGAAAGGAGCGAATTCCTGCGCCCTTTGTTGCGATAGTCGTCTTGGCGTTCGCGGGAAAAATTCCCAAGTCAGCGCCGAGAGCCGACCGATTGCGAATCCGAGTACGGATCGACTTCGATGAAGTCGACAGCGTCAGCACGCTGGTCAGGGTCCGGTACGCGTGAAATCTCCGAATGTGTCCATATGCAACACAGTCACCCATGGGGAGTTCGACTCCCTATGGCTCAGGCCGGCCGGCCGGCAGGCTGGCGGGTCAGGTCGCGCGGTTCTCCCCTCCCCGATCGAATCAAGTCTGAACCCAGTTCATTCTCTCGTGCTTTTTTGTGTGCAGGATCGCAGAACGCATCCATCAGACGGTTTTCGCTATTTTTTGTTGGAACTGTGGCAGCAATTAATTTCAGACTAGTCTGCTAGCTGCCAATACAGAGCATACGAAGAGCAATGTGTTTTCTCTCATTTGATCATTTAACTGGCATTCGTCTCTGACGCTTAATGAAGCGAACTCCGCTCGATCACAGATAGCACACGCAAAGAAAAAACCTGAAGTCACTTTCGGGCGACGCAGATGGGAAACGCCGCCAAGAGCAACAACGATTGCCCCCTGAAATGAGATTCATCCGATGCTCCTCCAGGCGGTGCTTCCAGGATGTCTTATTCCCTGATCTGCGTGCGTTCTCGAACGGAACGTTCTGTGATGAAAGGTTCGAAAAATTTGGGACTACGGTTTTCTTAGAAATCGGGATCGGGAGAACTCCATGGAGATCAGGCGGAGCCACCAAGTCGGGGACGAGAATGACACGCTTGGAATCGTAAGCTCGACGATTGAAAAAGCGTGATTGGCGTTCCCCAGACTTTTTCCTTTCGAACCTTGCGCTCATATCAAGAATGAAGCCATGCGCAATCCCGAATCCAATCGCTGGAGCGAGTCGAGTTTAGCGACCACAAGAGACTCTCCGACAGAATTAACGATTTAATTTCCTGCGGGCTCTCGACGCGATATTTTTTTCTAATTACTCTCGTTCGACGACACGTCTTGGAGTATGGAAGGGAAAAAATGCAACGAGATTGGGGATCGGAGCGAGCAATCTGAGCGCCAGCCAAGCCCGATTCGCTCGACGACCTCCGCCCACCACCGGACAAGCCCGGCTATTGCCTTCAGGATGTCGTCTCCGATTGAACCGACAAAGTCTCAAATTGGCATCTGTTTTGTTGGGTTTTTTATGCATCGCCTATATGTCGCCACTCGGTGCTTTCCTTGTCCGCGCTGCCCTTGAGAAATATTTTTTCCAAAGCGCCACTTACAGTAATGATGCAAGTAATTTCGCGGGTTCGACGCGTGCCTAGCCCGAGGCTTTGTTTCCTCGGCGACGTCTCTCGCTCCTCCGAGCAATCTTCCGCAATACTTCTCGAGGCTCGTTGTTTCTTTTTCTAATAAACCTGGGCATTGTTTTTTTCTCTTATTCCCGTCTATGATTTCGTTCCAAAATGTGACTGCGTTCTGTCGCTCCTTCTAGGGGTTTCCCCCCACCCCCTCCCCCTTGGAGCATCGGCTGCGCCCGTAGGACGCTCCCCACTCAGTCCCCCCCATCTCTTCCCGGCACCCATCGCGGAACCTAAACACCAAGCGCCCAGTCGTGACTAAGGCCGGCAACAAACGGTGCCGAGCTCCGAAGTCCTTTGTTGACATTTCTGCCCGAGTGACTTCATCAAAAACGAGGCCGTCGACACAAAAAAATGACACAAAGGGTTCGGAATTTGTTTATCGTCAACTCTTTCTCGCCCATTGCCCCGTTCATTTCTGGGGTTTTCTTCCCCGAGCGCGTCGCTTGCCGCGCTTGATTCGTTCCCGAGCGAGCGCGCGCGCTGCCTTTTTAAATGTTCTTTCACAGTACGTGTGCATTCTATTTGGCATGATTTGCGAATTCGTTTGTTCGTGTGGCTTCGTGGCTTCCTTTGAGAAAACTCACTGGGCCTTTGGCGGGATTTGTTTTTTGTTTGGCAATCAAAGCCTGTGTCAGA